GACTAAGCGCACAGATCCATCAGGAATGAAGGTGTGGGCCATTCCTCAAAAAGAGCCAAGGCCTGCTGAGGTGTTTGCTGAGACTGGAGGGAATACAGGTGGGTATCAGAGGAAGGTAGTTATAAATGTTTACCCAAATCTGCAAAGTCCCCCCAAAGCTAAGCCGTATGTAAAAACAAAAAGCCTTTATTTTATGCAAGTTTGCAAACTTGGTCTCTCCACATGCCCAACATATTGAAGTAAATGGAGAGACCTGAGCTCAGTTAGAGTTGGGTTTTTATAATAGTAAAGGTGGGGGTGAGGGGTCTCTAAGGTTCAGGACCCCTGATTGGCTGCCATTTGTCTAGGGGTGTTGTGGTGAGTGTGTGCTGGCAGGTGATCCTATCTACAGCAGTTGGAACATTAGACATTTCCTTTGGATGGTCTGTTCTTGGGTGATGCTCAGGTAATCTTAGTTTGTGGTTCTTCCTGCAACCAGGCATTGCTTCAGGGTAAACTACTGAGACTTAGGCCTCAGTTAAATTTATCGATGGCTGAGCCCTACACTGGCAGGTGATAATGGTTGGAAGTAAAGAACTTCCTTTGGGTGATCTGTTCATATTTAGCTTATCATGGCTGGTTCCTACATTAAATACCACCCAAGGCCACGTGACCAGTTGCAGAAAAGAGGATTATAATTGACATGAGTGTTTCTGTTGCATTTGTTAAGAATGTGTTTGTGCAGAGAGTTGTGCTGCTACATCCACGGCTGTCTCGCCAGTGTAGCAGAAATGCTGACTGGATGGGCAAATATTGCCGGCAGGATTGGGATTTGTGCTTCTAGGAGCTGTGTGTTCCAGGCAGTCCCTTGGCAACCAGTTGTGGTGTAATGCTGCCTGAGTCGCCATTAGTACTGACTCGACCTGGCTGTCCTTGGAGCCATATGTGTGTCTTTTCCCTTGTCTGTGTGTTCTTTGTGATTCTTGCATATTGCTAACAGATCAGACTATTCCAGGCAGTTGTGGATATAAACAAGACTGCTGAGGACATTTTTGAATTCTGCTCCACTATTAATTAAAGCCTTAAAAAAGTAGCCAGTTCTGGGAATTGCCAGAATCATCATTAGGACAATTCCTTGATGATGTGGAATAAAAGGAGTTAATCTTAGCAGAAAAAACCTTAGAAGCCTTCTACAGGAAAACAGCATTAGGCATTTATGTGCAACTTAACAGGAGGCCTATGCAACCTTCCTTATGGCCAGAAAACCTAGGCTAATTACAACATCTGACCCTGAGAGTCGGGAAGGGAAAGGAGTTGAGATTAATGGTACAAAATGAGTCTCAGACAAGTTTAAAATCATGTCTTTAAAGTTTCCTAGCAGAAAGTTTTCCAGAAAGATAGTAGCCTTCTTCTTTCTCACCCAGACACACAAGGTCACTTAGCTGAGCCCAGCCAGCCACCTGGTACAAGCTGATAAAGGTGGGCTAACTCAAGAACAATGGTCTCTCTAATAACAAGAAAAAAGAAGGGGTAACTTTACAAATGTAAGGAAGCAAAAGTCCTTGTACTCATGCCAAAGCATCTTTAAAGATTCTCTTTGTAAAACTGTTTTATGCCATTCTTTTCTATTTTATGATCTGATGATGTATGCCTTTGCCAAGTTCTTTGTTTGTAATAATATATAATCCTGCACTGAAGTAAGTAAATCGCAACAGCATGTCTCAAAAACATTGAGAGTGTCTGTGTGTCACTTTTCCTCGCCGTATCCTGATTTCTCCTGTGCCTTCGCCCTGATTCCCTTACAGTCTGAGTGGCTACCTTGAGCCGGTCCGTAGCATTGTGCTTTCTTTCTTCGGTACTTTACCATATAATGTAACATCGGTTGAGAGAATTTCAGTGGTTACCTGTGGGGACATGGCCCAGGAATGTAGTTATGTGTGGAGAATTCTGAGCGCTTACAAGACCACTCTGAGAAAAACAAGAATCTTGTGATCTTGTTTCTTCAAAACCTGAAATTGTCCTTGACACATGTTTTTGTTTGTGCTCCTCTCGGGTGTAGCAGGTCGGAGTGAGCTGACTTTGGAGGACTTGATTGCTTGCTGTTGTTATTCAATTCAATACTTAAACTTTGCTTTATGTGCTTCTGTGGAAAAAAATATGATTTTTGCCATGCATGGCTTGTCCTTGTGATTATATACAGCTTGAACTTATGAGAACTTTCCTCATGTGACCTTCTTAACCCTCAGAGTATAGATTGTTTGAGGCTGTGAGTACAGTTGACTACCGCACGAGACATTGCCTCATTCGTCAGCTCATTAGCCCAGGCCCCACTGCCTTTAGAGAGGTGACAGTTATCATATTTAAGATATGAGATTTTAAAAGAATGTTCTTCTAGAAAACCCCAACTAATTCTAAAATACACATTTAAAATTATATCATGGGTTTGAGATTGTAGGTAGGATAGTTATATCATGGTAAGTGTGACTATGGCCTGGTTTTGTTTTTATTTGGAAATTAAGAATGGCGTAAGTGTCAAGTTCAAATGGAACTCCAGTTCCCCAAACTCCTAAAGGCAGTCCAAATATTCAGAAATGAACACAACCTGGACTCAACCTAGAAGGATTTCTGGCAGTAGGATAAAAGCCAGCATTCCTTAGGAACTTGTGAAGCTGGTTTCTGTCTGCAGAAAGGGGTCATTTCTCTCGCCTCTAGCAGAAGGGACAAAGGGTTATCCACATGGTACCTATCATTTCAAAGCAAAAGCTGGTCTACAGGCTCTCTCCGCATCACAGGCACCTGGTACATATTTCAGAGTCCTTGCTAGCATCCTAGCCTCTCTCCTTCCGACCCTCAACTCCCTCCAGCTCACATGCTTCCCTCCCCCAGAATACTCATTCTCTGCATAAACCAGATGTTTAGTCTCACTATGCTTTCTCTATTTTCTATCATCTTCCATTCTCCCTCACTAGAAGATATCCCTGACCGTGTCCAGTCTGCTGGACATGCTCAGTCTACTCTCTCTCTCTCTCTCTGCTCTGGACTCTGCCAGATATCTCTGCCTGTTCTCTCATCTCTACAATAAAACCTTCCCATACCAGTGAGTAGTCATGGCAACAGTATATTCAATAAGGGGACACACCTATGTGTCAAGTTGACAAAGCTTGGGCTTCTGATAATATTCTTGGTTGTCAGCTTGACTATATCTGGAATTCACTAAAAACCCAAGTCACCAAGTGCACCTGTGAGGAATTCTTGTTAATTGGATCATATGTGATCGGAAGACAACTTCTCATGGAAAGCGATATAAGGACATGACATGAAGGCTTTGGGTTTTGCCTGTTTGCTCTCATTATCACTGGCAAAGTCACATGTCCTGTTGCCAAGACATTCTTTCCCCGTTATTAGAGCCAACTTCTTCATTATGTTGATGTGTACTGAAGACCAGCTGAGCCATCCAGCCTCATGAACTGAATAACTATTCTTGGCTTCCCATCAGGCGACAGCCATTATTAGACTAGCTAGACCGTAGCCTATAGCCCACTCTAATAAATCATATATAAGATATATATCATTTGTATTATATATCTTATATATGATCATTATATATATGCTATATAGCTAATATATAATACATGTGATATGTAATATATATCTTATCTATATATGATTCTATCATTCTATCAGTTTTATTCCTCTAGAGCAGTGGTTCTCAACCTTCCTAATGCTGCAGCCCTTTAATAGACTTCCTCATGCTGTGGTGACCAACTATAAAATTATTTCATTGCTACTGTTATGAATTGTAATATAAATATCTGATATGCAATGCTTAAACAGATCACAAAACACAGGTTGAGAGTGGTTGTTCTAGAAAATCCTGACTAAGGCATAGGGGGGTACAGTTCTACCCAGGGTGAAGACGTACCCACAAATAGTGATTAAAAACTTAAAATTACCTGTAACCCAGACCCAGAAAAACATATATCACATGTTCTCCCTCAACAGAGGCACCTAGCTCAAACCAGAGCATATACTCTGGTAATTCCAGAAAGTTTGAACGCAAAAAGGCATCATTGATATGGCGGGGGCTTAGGGGAGCAAGAGAGGGGAATAACAGAGGACAAATGACCTGATAAGGGAAATGGGAAGGGGGGCTTTACTAGGTAAGGAGAGGGAGATAAATACAGGGGAGGAGGAAGGAGGGCAAAATAACTAGGCATGTTTGAAAAACTCATAAGGAGTATTAACTATTTACCTAAAAAACTATATGCATTTATATTTTAAGTGAAATTTTGTCATCTGTGATGCAGGTGTTCCCACCGACAGCCGAAGACCACTGAACAAAACTCCCAACACCAGGTGTGGGAGGCACGGAGGTCCTCGTGCTCACAGAAGAACACCAAGGGAACCTGTGGGGGGCACGGAGGTCCTCGTGCTCACAGAAGAACACCAAGGGAACCTG